CTTAATGATTAGGCTATCTCAGACATCATTAAAATTTAATAATCATAAATTTGCGAGGCAAACTAACAGTTAAGTGGGTCGACTCGTTATATTTTTTTTTTAACATAAAGACGAGTTTATACTGAAAATGTCATAGTTATATCAATATTTAGTTTGTCTAATAATAATTTTACTATTTTTACAAATAATCAACAATAGTAAAAAATTGTGATTTATCTACCGAATTCATCAAGTGGGGCTTCATCATAGTAGCGTGTTGTCACGAAAGATGAACTCGTTCGCCCGAAATTGGTCCCTCCATGGTACTATTAAAAAAAAAAGTGATAAAATTAACTTTAATTTTATTACATTCAAGAATAAAAATTGAAAAAAAAAAATATGGTCGTTTGAATTTTGATGAGTACCATGTAATAGTTATTGAGGGTACCATTCCTTGCAAAGAAACGAGCAACGGCAAATGCTATGTCCTCAGCTGCCCGCTGAGAAGGTGAGTCACCAAAGACTCTATACCTGCAACAAACGGGACGTAAAATGTTTAGATTCGAATTCGACTCGTTAAGATTCAAATTCGATTACTGATTTGTTTTTATAAACGAATCGATTTAAAGCTTGTTTTAGACATTATTTGCTCAAGTTTGACTCCTTTATTCCGTAATGTATGTTTTATTTGACGAGATATCGGATATTATTCGTAATTATATAGCATGGACAACAGCTGCACATACTGGGCCGTCCAATTCTCAGTCCAGAGAGAGGGCTTGTTCGGCCCATTTGGACCGGGGAAAGTGTCTCCACATTGCCTTCCATTGCAAGTACTAATCTGAAAAACATTTAAAATAAAATGTCAAACCATATGTGATTATAAATTTATAATAAAATTAACACATAACTAAATAACATTATATTATTAAAAAAAACCAACAACAAAGTTATATTTGCTCTTAATTGTGTCAAGTATCTCGTTATTATCAGGCATTGGGCCTCTGCTATAATGCGCTTACGACTGTCTGAGGAGCATCCTTTTGTTTGCACATGACCCAAGGCACACCATTGTGTAGGCCCACAGCCATATCTGCAGCCCACTTTACATAGTTCTGTCCAGCCTCTCTGTATGCGAGTTGGACATTGTTGTATTCATTCTCAATCTGCATGAGTACGGACACTATTATTAGTAAAATAGTGTGTATTTTTTCTTTGCCTTTTTAAATATGATTTTGGATAGTAACAATATTTAGAGTTGTTCACCGAAACGAATCGTTCGTGCGGTTGGCTCGACTCATTAAAATTCTAGTTCAGTGTGCTCATTTTGTAAACGGGCCGAGTTCCAGCTTGTTGACGTTTAGATAACGAATTGGGTTCCACTTGACTTGTTAAAGGCTAAAAATAAAACTTTTATATAACTTTTGTTGAGGTTGACTCGTTAATATTGATAAATGAGCGAACTCGAGCTTTTAATTATTGGCTTGTTTAGTGATCTTGACTCGTTTAAAGCTCAACTTTTTGCTCGTTAATGCTCGAGATCGATTTTTTAATATTGGTAAAGGAGTTGAATTCAACCTCAAAGTAAGGTTCGAGTTCGAGCTCGAAAATTATAAAATTAAGCTCGAGTCGACTCGTTTATTCCCCTAATAATTATATAATGGAAACATATATACCTGGGCCATTATAATTGGGCCTCCTTGGTCTGCAAAGAGCTTCTCTTTCTTGATCAAGTTGATAACCATCTCAGCATACTTTTTCATGTGGTACTGCATGCATGATGAATTGTGTATCAATCATAAATCACTTCATTATATTATAATTGTTTACTTTTAATTTTAAAAATAATTACATAAAAATGCACCTAAGATAAATAATTAGGTAACCCTCTATGGTAATCTTGTTACTAAATGAGGAATAAAATATAATGAAATAGAGATAATTTATAATTAGAATGTTACCACAAAGGGTTCATTATATGAACGGAATGTGATGTTTGGAACCTCCTTCAACCAATATGGAAATCCTCTGTAAAAACGACCAAACATTTAGATAGCTTATTAAAAATAAGTAAATATAAAGAATGCTATTAAAATAAAGAGAAATGTTAAGGTCCCGTTACAGAACCATTCTGTCGAGATTCATAACTGTTAGATCTACTATCCTCGACGGTTACATGATGATTTAACGGTTACAAATCCCGACGGAATGATTCCGTAACGAAATCGTAGTATTTTCCTGAAATAAAATTATTGAAAAAAAATACTATTAAATTACCCCAAATTCCATTCAGCCTCAATGTAAGGTCCAATCCTGAGGGTCACCCACATACCATTCTCACCAATCATTTTAATGAATTTCACCAAATCATAATTGCCTTCAAAATTAAACTGTACCATACAAGAAAAAAATTTCAATATTATTTTTTTTAAGTAACAATTAATTAATTCATAAAAATTGATAATACATCAAATTTACCTGCCCTTGTACAGGCTCGTGAATATTCCAAAACACATAAGTCTGTATCAAGTTTAGTCCACCTTCTTTAGCCTTTCTAATTAGGTCAGGCCACATCTGATAATTACCAATACAACAATTAAAGAAAAATAAAAATGATTAAACTTTCATATATATTTTTTTTTATACTTGAAAACATAGTACACTAGGGATATATTTATGAAATTCAATATGATTAACTAATAAATAAGCTTGAAATTAATTATATTATTTCATATGAGCATAACATTTACTTTTATAGATAAAACTTTAAAGTAAAAAAAAAATAAAAATATTTACCGCCAGTGTGCTACGCGGATAATGAATGGAACCAGAAAAAAGTAATTCTCGGGTCCCATTGATAATTAGCGAGCGCGAATCGTACGTTACAACCGGCCGATTTTTGTTGTCTTTTTTACCGTAAGCACTTGCAATGATCAACGATAACACGAGCAACAATAGAATTCGATGAATTTTCGTCATTTTTCTTTTTCAAGACACTCGATTTTTTTTTTCTTCTTTTGATTTTTGATCTGACGAGAAAAGACGACGAGTCTCTTTCCTCTCTTCGTGAGAGGAAGGAGGTCGAATTTAGTAGATGTCTTGAAAATGTTGAATCACGAAAAAACAGTGTTAAGAAAACGAGGGGTGATGACAATATTTAGGCCTTGGAGTTTGTTCTCGGATTACATGTGTTTTCTCATTTCCTTTATTTTTTTTCTTTTGATTTATGGGCCTTCGAAATTTTATGTCTATTTTTAGATTTTTCCTTAACAATTGGTGGCTGTGGTTTGATTTGGGATCATACTAGTAAAAAAAAAAATATATATATATTATTGTTCTATTAATTTTGTTAAATGATGTTTAATATTTTACAAGAATTATATATGTATATAGGATAGGGAGATTATGTGGTTCCGTTACGGAATCATTCTGTCGGGATTTAAAACCGTTAGATCAACTATCCACGATGGTTACATGATGATCTAACAGTTACAAATTACGACAAAATAGTTATGTAACGAGACTCACAATTTTTTATTTGAAAAATATAAAGTTGCTTATAGAAAAGTTAAAGCCATGTCATCAGGAACAAAAACCCTAGCTCGATAATATTCAAATTCTCCCTCCAAAAATTGACCGTTGACCCTGTTTCATTTTCATCAACTCCCTCCATAATATTCAAATTCTCCCTCCAAAAATTGGAACAAAAACCCTAGCTCGATCCCAATCCGATTTTATACTCAGACGAAACCAAAATCTACACTCAAAATTCAGCTGAAAGACAATGGCGAAATCGAATCATCAAGAAGACCTCGACCTTCTCCTCTCTCTTGAGGATCGCGTTCTGGAAACCCCACCAGCTTCTCCTTCAGGTCCCCTTTCTCTGTTTGTAATTATTCCCAATTGATTGATTTTATTCACCCGCTGAGCTTAAATTCAGCTTATTTTGCGTATTGTTTATATGGGGGTGGTTTGTTTAAGTATTTGGCGTACTGGGGTGTGCCTTTGTTTGAATGAAATGTCTTGAGGTTTTGTAGAAGGGGTTGGTTCAAATAGATTGGTTGTGCTGAATGCTTAGTTTCAATGTTGATGATGTTTTGTGTTTTTCTATTGATTCACACGCAGGTTATTTATCTGATGATGGGAGGAGAAAGGGAACAGGGAATGTGGACATGTCTGTTTTTCGAGATGTGGTGGGGGACTGTCTTGATTATGATGCCAAAAATGTTGAGAAGTCTCGTAGGCCCGAGCAGGGAAAGAGTTGTAATGACGTTGAGGTTGATAAGTTTTCAGGGCTGCGGATTAAGTATGTTTACTCTTTAACTTGATGTTCATCCAAGAATTTCTTGTTTCAGTTTTCCTTTTGAGCAAGTAGTTTATTGTTTTTGTTATTTGTGTACATCGTTGCTTGTTGCTTCATGCATGAAAACCTTATTGAGTTTGCTGTAGAAATTGTGAAGTATTATGGACTGTGTGATTGAACACGAAATAAAGTGATTTAGGCAATCTGTGATGTTGAAAAGGTAAGGATCAAGTAAAATTGGTACGTTTTAGAAGTTTTCTTCAAGTTCTTAATATTCAGTTCTGCCAAATGGTGAGATGATAATGCTTGGTGTAGGATGTGTTTGGTTTGTAGTGCTTATTCCATTCAAGGTAAGAAAGTTGAGATAATAAACATGATAGATTGCAGTTAAGGGCTCTTGTAAATTAACTAGTAGATTTGCACTAATCTCTGCACAGTTTATATCTTCTATTAATTCTCTCCCGTTTCTTTTGACTGCTTAGGGGTCCATTGGTATCACGGGTTGAATTGAGCAACCATTTATCAGACATTCGATTTGTGCAGTTACCAACAATAAAGTACGCCACTTTGCACACTAGTACTTTAGCTCTCTCGTTTGCCTGCCACTACATGAAGCAACTGATGGTGCTTATTTACTATTTATCAGGAATTTGCTAGCTGGAGATACACTCTCTGGGTGCTGGGCCACTACTGGGGTTCTCATGGAAATAGGAACTCCAAAGAATAGTTCCATAGGGCAGCCATTTACAAGATGGAGAATTGGATGCTTGAATGATAATATTATTACCCTTTTTTTGTTTGGTGATGCTTACAAAAAGACATGTGACGAAAAGATAGGGGGTGTCTTTGCACTGTTTAATTGCAGTGTTCGCAAGGACAACATTGTAAGGCTTTTACGTTTATTATAATTGTTGTTTATGTATTTTTTTTTTT